TCAAAGAATGTTTTTCAAAATTTTATATTATGGTTTTGATTTTTAAACACATCAAAAATGGTCATCAAAATCTTTCATTTTGTGTTTCAGTTTTTCAACATTTTAAAAAATGATTGTCAAAATTTTACACTTTGGATTTTTGATTTTTAAGTATTTCAAAAATGCTTTTTTCAAAATTACGCATTTTGGGTTTGATTTTCCGATATTTTAAAGAACGATTTTCAAAATTTTACATTACGAGTGTGATTTTTTGCAAATTTTAAAAGTGAATTTCAAAATTTTCCATTATAGCAAAAATTTTTTTCTTTTTTTAGCATATATTAAAAGGATATTTTAACAATTTCATTTCAAAATTGATGTAATTTTCAGTGGAATGATCAAATTACTTTAGCAATAATACGACCGGATTGCTTTCTCGATCTCTATGATGGCGCTAACATGACTGATGCGCATCGATTTTTGGGTGGTGAAATTAGTGAAGGTAATATTTATCATTTATCATGGTATGCATTTGATAATCGTACAAGTTCATATATTTGTCAATGTAATGGTTTCTGGTAAATTTTAAAATTATTCATGGCTTTTTTTTTTATCTTTTTCTTTTTTCATTTTTTTTTTTTGAATTAATTGAAATTAAATTTTCACAAAAAAAAAACTTTTAATTTGATTGAAATTTATTTTGTTGTATAAATACATACATATTGCCTTATTCATAATTGGAAAATATTCATTTTATTATAATACAATTATAATTATTATGCGTTTCATAATTTAATTCATTATGAAATTTAATGAGTTTAAATGTATTAATTATTCTTGCTTATGGATTTTTACCAAGATCGTAATTTTATTGATATTGCAATTTATTACACTGATACTGTGCTGATATTGACATGTACTGTAATTTGCTATACTAATATTGTACTGATAGCGACATTCACATTGATACTGTAATGCACTGTACTGATATTGCACTGATATTGACATATACTAATATTGTAGCTTTTTTTTTTGCTTCTTAAATAAAATTATATGAAATAATTCCTATGATCATTTCTTTTTTTTTTTAATATTTACTTCTACTTTAAGTTACATGAATATAAAGAATTTATTACTCATATTTTTATATAAATTTTGAAATTATTTCTTTAACATTGCAGGTATATATGTGTGTATTTTTAATAATGATGTATTAATTTTAATTATTTAATATATATATAAGTATTTAATTATGTATTAATTATTCTATGTATAAGCATTA